AAATCGTCACCTATGAACCCAGACATAGGTGTGTGAATGTTTAGTTCAAATGAGTATCCATTGCACGAGCGGCATTTGATGGCCTATAGATGCAGGCTATTATGAGTTGCTAATGGACAGAATTATGTACAGTGACAGATATATCGTCTTACATCAGTCCATGGATTTCTGGAAAGATCACAGTGGACGCAGTCGCACGTATACTATGCACTATCAGCATTTGTCTGAATTTCGAACTTTACGACGTCCTTATGATGTTAAGTCAGAAATATTAGGTGTGCACCAGGTTTTAGTACCTAAATAAATGGTCGCTCTGGTTGTCAGAAGGGGCATCGGCCTCGTAACTTCCGAAGGAATTCGGCTTTCATCATGAGGCGTCATAATTCTTCTAAATGAAGACCTTCTGACTCCCGGGCAGAGTTTAAAAGGTTTGAATAATTTTTTCTGGTTAGCGTTTTTTTAGCGAGTTAGTTCTCTACGGGATGGGGACGCTAACCCCATGCCCAACCCTCCTCCTTTATCCGGGCTTGGGACCGGCAGTAGCCCCTGGAAAGACTCCAGGCACCAATCCAATCACAATTGACGGAGAAGATTTGGAAGATGTAAAAACCTTTACGTATTTGGGCAGCATCATTGATGAACAGGGTGGATCTGATGCAAATGTGAAGGCGCGGATCGGCAAAGCAAGAGCAGTATATTTACAACTGAGGAACATCTGGAGCTCAAAGCAACTGTCAACCAACACCAAGGTCAGGATTTTCAATACAAATGTCAAGACAGTTCTACTGTATGGGGCAGAAACCTGGAGAACTACAAAAGCCATCATCCAGAAAATACAGGTGTTTATCAACAATTGTCTACGCAAAATACTTCAGATCCATTGGCCGGACACTATTAGCAACAACCTACTGTGGGAGAGAACAAACCAGATCCCAGCGGAGGAAGAAATCAGGAAGAAGCGCTGGAATTGGATAGGACACACATTGAGGAAAGCACCCAACTGCGTCACAAGACAAGCCCTCACATGGAATCCTGAAGGTCAAAGGAAAAGTGGAAGACCAAAGAACACATTACGCCGAGAAATGGAAATAGACATGAGAAAAATGAACAAGAATTGGATGGAACTGGAAAAGAAGGCGGAGGACAGATTGGGTTGGAGAATGCTGGTCAGCGGCCTATGCTCCATTGGGAGTAACAGGCGTAAGTAAGTAAGTAACCAGGTTTTAGTAATTAGGATGTAGGATAGACTGACCAAGTAAGCTATAGATCTTATTGTAAATAAAGTGAAAATAAAGTAACAGAAAGTTGTGAAGGAATGATGAAATCGCATAAATCACCGGCTAACCTAATGCATGTAGAGTTATTTTGTTCGATTTTAAGGTGTCTGAGATTTAGAGATGTTTCTTCATAATTAACCGACAGTCAAAGGGAAAACTTGTGTTAGTTGTTCGAAGCGGTAGGGACGATTCATTTCGAAGGTCATCATGAATGGATTACTGAAGTCAGGACAAATCAATTATTGATGTATCTGGAGATTGTTCAGAGGGCTGAGTTATGTAGCAATTGCAACTAAGAGGGATGGCTAGTAAATAGTGGTCCACTAAGTTAAAGGTAAGAGTATCCCCAGTAAATGAGTATAATATGGGTTTAAGGAGAGGGGTAACTTGTTCTTTGACAGCTCGTTTTGCTGACAATGAGGTGACCTGCTTGAAAAACCCGAACAACCTGCTCCTGCTACCTATATATTTCAACAAGTTACTTTGTTCGTTTATTTTAACACAATGTTATGTCTAGTAATCGCACAACCCACTTAAATGCGTATATGAAATGTTAACAACTGTTGCGTTGCAAGACACGAAGATGTACTGCCAAGGATATCGTACTGGCTTGTAACGTGCACTGAAAAGAATAAACATTATTTAGATGTCAATTTCAGAACTGCTAACTTCTTGTTGAATAACTCTAGTTGGTAAAGTGGACTATCTGCAATTCCTGCTTAGTCTAATTTTGGTATAATCACAACTCAAAACTCTTGGTTAAATGATTTACAATACGAGTGTTTAGCATCACTACCACATGGTTTTTATATCTATCGACAGCATCGACTGAGTAATGAGAAAAGTTGTGGCAGCAGCGTAGTCACACTAACAAATATGAGTTATCGTCGACCTACTTTTGTATTTTTTAAGTTTTCAAACGAATTTATTAACTGTTATACTTTAAGATGCTGTCCCAAAATCCTGGACAAATACAATTAGTTTTACGTTGCCAACACCTACGTGACTCCGGATGGAAAATCATCTGCACTACCTGTTTTCGTTGATGAATTCGCTGAATTTGCTTTTGCTGTCTTAGAGATGAGAGACGCATCAGAGATTTTGATCAGATGAATGTCTCTGACTTAAATAGGTCTTTTAAGTCAGTCATCTGCTATCGTACTTCCTATATCCGCAGATTTAAAGAATATTCATGTTCCGATTTTCACTGAAACTGATATACGAAAATGTCAATAATCACTTAAATCGTCCCAATCTTTCGGACCTAATGAAATTCAAAACCTCCATTTTAAGAAATGTACGGACGTTTCGCATTATCCATTGACGAGCATCTTTAACAAATCCTCAACTAATCTTATGCCGAAAATGTGGAGAAAGTTTAAGATAAACCCAATATTGAAAAAAGTATCTGACGATAAGAATGTTAAACGTAGACCCATTGTAATAACTTCACATTATCTCAAAACAATGGCAAAACTATTGCTACCCGTACTTCAGCCTGAACTAGAAGAGCACATCGATCCATATCAGTCTGCCTACAAATTTGTGCATGCTGCTGTTTTCCTGCATCTTAATATAATGTTCATCTTCGAAAAAAGTAAGAAGTATGTTCGATGAGCTTTTCGAGAATGTACTTCTGCCTATGACTATATTCCAATACGACGTCTGCTTAACAAGTGAATCACCGTCAACTCTGACAGCTGGATATCCAACTGACTGCGTTCCTACCTCTCTGGAAGAGAACAGTATACTGTGTTTGGAGGGAAGTGTCCATTGTCTTCACTAAGTGTTATGCCACAAGCGGTTATTTTTAAGTCCTTTGTTTTCTGTCTTTTTGTGCATGATCTGCCGTCTACAGAAAATACTTTTGTTAAGTTTGTGGATGATTTCACTGTATGTACACCGATCTCTGTCTCTTCATATCCCTGTGAAATGAGTGGGTTTTTGTTACCCATTGAATAATGGCTTGTTTTTGCTGCTAATACACTCAGTCCTTCTGAATGTTAGACTGTTGATTTTTACATAAGGTGTAAATATCACTTGAGCATCCTGTTGGAATTTTATAAAGCTTGTACTATTAGAGATTCCTTAATAAATACAGTATCAAAAGTCATTTATCTCAATGTAAAATTTCTTGATCTTCACTTGTCTTACCATTGTTAAAAAACGTTTCCCAACTAATTTACTATATGAAGAGGCTTCATGCTTTTGAGATTACTCGACAATTACTCCCACAACTTGCCAATTTTCTCATACCGCCTACTATTCTTTATTGTTCTTCATTATTCTTTCCCAGGATTTTGATGAAAGACTTTGCAGTGTCGCAGAGAGTCCTAACGGAAGTTAGCAGGGTATGTGGTGAATTTTTTAGGGTCATTTTTGGTATGATTGTAGACAGGTATCTAAGGTCTCGCAAACTCCTGGCAGGTGTTATCTTATCAGATACTAGCCATCCACGTCATTCTTATCTTTTCCTTTGTATATATTCCGGTAGCATGAGATGTCAATACATTGGAATGAATACATGCAAGCAAAAGTATGGAAGATCTGCGATGCTTTAGTTAGCAAATATATTGTGACAAACAAGTCTTAAGAGGTGACGTGGCCAATAACTTATATTCATAAACATGTTTCTAATTAAAAAATTCGTACGCATTCGAATCTTTCTAAAAACGTACATTTCATTTAATTCCAGGTTGTTTATTCATTTAATTGATGTGAATTTGTATTCACTTGTCATTTTTCTTCTTTGAATATGTAAAATAAACTTGTCGAAATATTTTTTCTGAGAGTTCTTTATTGTACCAATAATATTACATCAAATAAGGCCACTAGCAATGAAAATTATATTAGTGTGATGGGATATTTCGAATGACCCACGATATTGCGCCACCATCTCCTCTTGTCTTCGATGGATAACTGTCCAACATTTGAGAAAGTTGAACTTCACTGATCACGGCCTCAAACTAGAATCCGAAAGTTTCCTCTCGAAACTAGTCGGTTGAGAGCAGACGTTTATTATCAGCATAAAGTTTTGCAGATTGTTGAGTTTTAATTTGAATCATGGACAGATCAACATTGCATCACCATTAAAAATCTGGAAGAACTGGGCGGCCGTTTAGACCTAGTGTGGGACTCCTCAGTAGTGCGCACCCACGATTTCATAGGCGGGACTCCAATCCACGATATTCAGTCTCGCTCAACGGCTTTAGTGAGTGAGCGGTGTGTTCAGTACGTTGATTGTATATCATTTACGAAGGTGATATGTGTCGAGGGATTGGAAGCCTACTCGGGGTATACGGGAATGATGTTGCCAACTAGCTAATTTTGAAGTTACATCTTGCGGTTAGCACCTAACTGGAATTAGCCTTTTGTCGTATCAAGGGTACTATGACTGCATTGATGACCGTACTGCATAAACGACGTTATTACAAAAATATACCAGTAAGAGTAGGTGTAAGGAACAGAGTGATCACCACCGCATGGGCAGCCCATAGCGTGCAATTAGTTGTTTTTGACCTTGACGGGGATCAGTGACGATGATTTTGCTAAGGCTCAATTCCCATTTCAGTGACCCTACATGATCATTATTATTATTTTAGTGTTCAAAGGTTGATTACACTCCTGCTTGCATTGTTACTTAGAGAGGTCGGGGCAAGGTTTCATGATATCGAGTTTTCGCGCTATAACTCGTGTTGTACGGCTTATGTTGCAGCACACACTACCGCGGTAAGTTTGACTTTTAGTCTCGTGACATTGGATAACACGGTAAAATAGAGACGAACTTTGATTTGAAATTACTGACTGATTGATTGGTTAGATCAATACGTTTAGTTGTACAGTTTCCGTTAGCTGCTAATTGAGCTGAGAATATACACGCATCTCATCGGGGGATTTACTCAAACGGCGAATAGACATCACGACAACCCTTGTATATATCCGTGTGGTTGCCTGCGGCGACCAGGTTGCCCATTCTCGTAGTATTACAGTATCGTCAGCTAGTTTATTAATGATCCCAATCTCCCACTTTTGAGGGAGCCGCAATAGGAATCTTTGAGGAAATGGCACAAATTTTCCTCAAGTTTTGGGGGAAACTACCAAGTTTCTTACGGCTCTGAGGAGAACCCCAAAATAGGAAGATTGGGGTATGTCTAATTAAAACCCGAACTATTGACAGAGGCGGTTTTATGATAATCATATTCAGTACCTGTGTACGGATGAGCGTAAACCCATTGTTTCGCATGGAGTGAATCGTTTTTGTCTTATCAAGGAAGAAATACAATAGATCCTGTGTTCCAATATATACGACCTATCCTTCTTGTTGATCATCATTAGGGTTCTTGTTATCTACGTAGTAAAAATTGTTATCTGCACTCAATTTCTAAATAATAAGATTGGGTGTTATTTAAGCTTGCTCTTTTGCATAAAGCAGGATTTTTCTGAGTAAATAAGGTTAATCTAGTGAGTAAATCATCAAACTTGTGTGTTTGACTAGAAACCTGGAGTAACAGTTGTTGTTTGGAGATTATTGATCGCCGCTTACCCTTCAAGATAATTGCTTATCAACATTTACCGAAACACTTCACTGGCTTGATGGGAAGACAGCTTCGTGGTAAAAACCCATGTTAGCTGCGCTGATTTTATTTTTAAGGATTTCTGCAGATACCCTTCTAAAGCTGTATGAGAAATTTGCTTTTTCCCAACTAGTCATAACAGTTATATGTTCAAAATCTGCCTTAGTAAATTCTTAACCTGATTTTCCGTAGATAATCTGTATTAATTGGGCAACATTTATGAGACCGAACTCGTTCTTTTAAGTGTCACTTCAAACTGAACGAATGATTACAAAAGTATCACCAACATCGCAGCTTATCTGTACGGTGACATCTCCAGATACGTCAGTCAGTCAGCAACAACGTAGAACTTTGTACGTATGTACATAAGTTCAAGTTGCCATGCCACAGCAAAGTGATACAATCTTCGATTCAAATCCCATAGTGGTAGATGTAGTAAAAGTATAAGCAGTAATCGGGAAGATGAAGGTTTGAAGATGTTATTTAAGGAGTATAATCCAGGGAAATAAATTTGGAAAGAGGAAAAAAGGACATGAAGAATTCAGGAGATTAGAATTTGGGAGAACACAAAGAGTAGATGCACCTGCGCCATTGCAGACGATTTTGAACCATGTCATTCAAGGTCTGTAACCATCGGTTGCTATCAACTCACGGATCCCAACCAGGTAGTCTACACCTACCAACATGGCTCAGTCCACTTGTCAGTGAATTCATGGATTTGTGCCATGTTTTGATCCAGTCTCCCATAGCTTTCTTCCAACCGTAGCTGCTACCTTGACGTGGTGGTCGGGCTCACTTATGGTGATGACCCAACCGAGCCATGTTGGCTGTAGGTTCGATCATGTTAGGCAAGTCGACTGGAGAACGGTAAGACTAAAAGTAGCAACTCAAGGTCTGAGAGCGAAGTACTGTTGACAGTAAAGAGATGTGACAGCAGTAAGTGTTTCCCTCGGACAACCAGCATCTGCAGCGATGCTGCTTTGTCAAAAGGAAGGAAGGAAGAGATTAGAAAAGGTCGACCCTAAAAATGTCACACTTCGCGGATTTTTGTCTCCGGCGGTAAGGCCTTTTGAAAAACGGAGCTATCACGTTAAGAACTTCCCTCATAAAAGCTGTGCGTGACTGGCCTCAAGCAGTTGTCCCTTGGGCTGTGCAGTCACGCTCCCAGGTCGTTAAGACCAACGCTAACCCATCTTTGGATAGTAATTTTCCTTAACGTTTGTATCCGTTACAGGTTGCAAAGCCTTAGAATGACTTTCTCCAGACAAATGTATTCGATTAACCTATTACGGACAAGTTGGCTGCATTATTATGTTAGCAATCGGTACTCAGTAGTTCCAGTCACTGGATTATCCGAAGCATCAGTAGCTAGTGACCAGGAATCTGAAACTAATACCAACAAACTTAAATCCCTCAATTTCTCCGTGAATTCAGTTACGTTACTCGGGACTGTCATCGGAATAAAAGTAAGTTACCAGTTCTATTGAGGCGATACTGTATTTTATGATAAATGAACTTACTAATAATTAGCTCTATTTATCCTTACAATATTTCACTGTCTCATCTATTAGTCGTTACTTTTATCTTTTATTAAACACTTGGATGTCACTTTCTGCTAGTCATACATCTGTTGATGTTTCTTTCTTCCTTTCTTTCTCTCTCTCTCTCTCTCTCTCTCTCTCTCTCTCTCTATATATATATATATATATATATATATATATATATACAAACTAGTCAAATGAATTCTGATTAACATCGCTTGTTTAATAGTTCTGTGTTAGACAAACCTTTCATCTGTATAACTGTGGCGTATCCGATACTCACCCAGAACGGAAGTTTGTAATGACAGGCTCCAATTCAAATTTCACAAGATTGATTAATTCGTGGGAAAATGTAAGTCCCAAATGTCATTCAAATCAAAAACCACTTTTCGTGGGATTAAGCGTCATAAATTACCGCGCCCAGATTACGTACGTTCTGCCTTCTTGTCTATAAAACTGAGTTTTTTGGGAATTAGTGTTTCAACATCCTGGGGTGAGTTTGTAGTCGTCCGTGACTTTAGAAAGGTCACTTCACCTAAGCAAAAACCATCGGTTGATAAGTCCGCTTCCAATTGCATCCAAATATTGGCTTTCATCATGCTTTGCAGATTGTTCGAAATCCGTGAAAAATACATTTGCCAGAAACAAGCCGGTTTTCGTTCTGATCAAGGATGTATTGGTGATATCTTCAGCCTTCACAGAATGTTCAAACACCTCCACACTTACTGGAGGCCAACAGTTTTTGTTTTTCTTGGTATCGAGTTCTACTCATTAGACAGGACTGTTCTCTGGGATCGCCTGTTCAAGTAGGGCGTGTGTGAGTTTATCAACAACTTGGGGAGTATTACAACCCTCATACATACCAAATGAGATTTGTGTGGCGCATATGTATTTGGTGCGTCCTTGTACCAGTATCTATGTTTTAAAATAATAATAAATAATGAAAGCCAGAGCGGTTTATAGCAATCTGGGCCATCTTTGGCGTCTTCGTGATGTCGGTTTGGCTATTAAATGTTGCATCTACAACTAGTCGTTAAGAGCAGTTTCGTTCCATGCTTGTAAAGTCTGGCCCTCGAATGCCCTGGTACGGCCGAGAGTGGGGAGAGTCCGCTCTCCCTCTCGAAATACTCTCACACGGCCGCGCGTATACAGCCTCTGCCAGGGAAGTCCTACTCATTGCCTTCTCGTGGCGGGGGTGTTGTTTACGAAAATGAGAGGACGAAAAGCGAATGTCCGGCGCTTTAACCGGATCACAAACCAATGGTGCACATGGGCTCCAGTATCCTGCGGGAACAAATGGCGTATGAACCAATCGTTGGTCACCGGCTACCATGGGACTGCATCTCCTTACGATGCTCCACTGCCTTGTGGGTTAGACCTTTAGGTCAAAGGCTCGGGGTGTGGCCCCCTAAGATAACCACCTGCTTCGGTTTGGGCACCCGGGCAGTATCACAGCCCACACACAAATGATGAACTCTTTATGTCTATGGAAATTACTTTTCTCGCTTCAAAAAACAAATGATTCAAATTATTATCATTACAATTATTGTCATTATTAATACTATTATTATTATTACTATTATTGTCATTATTATTTTCCACATTATTCACCCTCTTTTATACTTATACAGCGGCTCGTCTTTGGTGGAAATTCGACTGTATCTAAACGTTCTCGAGTCACTGTCCGGTTGAAAATTGTATGTTACCACCGAATACGAGGACTGAAGCAGTTTTTCTGAAACCACGTGCACCATTCAAACTGGCTGCCTTCAACGTTCGCACATTTATGCAGGTCGGACAACAGATAGGGCTGGCTATGTCTTTGGAAAGTCTTAATATTGATGTTTGTTGTCTATCCGAGACCCGTATTCAAGACTCTGGCGAAGTACTACAAATTCGATCTCCATCTGTCGCTTCGAAAAGCTTGTTTTACGTGCGCTTATCCGGGGACCCTGTGGCATCTTCGTCTGGTCTTGCTGGCGTTGGTGTCGCACTAAGCGCTAGAGCTGAGGCAGCACTAGTCGATTGGATCCCCATTAACAGTCGGTTATGTGCTGTTAGATTAGAAAGTTCCATCAAAGTGAGAAGAAATCGGCGTGAGAAACGATGTCTTTTCGTCATCTCCGCCTATGCCCCGACAGATTGCAGCCCGGATGCAATCAAGGATGAGTTTTACCACCAGTTATCAGTTCTTCTCCAGAAAGTGCGTTCGACAGATATTGTAGTACTAGCCGGAGACTTGAATGCTCAGGTCGGGCGTCTAGGCACAGAAGAGAGTCGTTTAGGTGGCCGATGGGGACTCGTTGGTCGCAGGTCAGATAACGGGGACCGTCTACTGCAACTTTGCACAGACCACAACCTGTTTCTGGCTAGCACTAACTTTCGGCACAGTCATCGCCGATGTGCCACCTGGCGTCCTCCCTCTGCATCTCAAGCCTGGACTCAGATTGATCACATCGCGATCAGCTACCGCTGGCGTGGTTGTGTACAAGACTGCCGCTCCTTTTGGAGTACCTATCTGGACTCTGACCATGCCTTGGTCTGCGCCAATCTTGCCTTACTTTTCAGTGGACAACGAAGTGACGCCATCAACGGATTGATGTTAGCAAGCTGGTTGCAACTTCTGTTGCAAGTAAGTATCGAACCGAGCTAGCCTCTAGGCTAGCTACCACTCCACCGAAAAGTATAGATGAGCATTGGTTGCAATTGCATGACGCCATGAAAATGGCGGGAACAGTCAGTTGTGGGTTTGCGAAACGTCCCGCTTTTAAGCACTGGGTTTCTTCTGGTTCCTTACAACTCATTGAAGCCCGTCGGTCTACTCCGGGTGACCGTGAGTTTGACCATAAACGAAGGATGTTACGTAAGGAAATTGGGCAAAGCTTGCGTAAGGACCGAGAAGCCTGGTGGTCGATGCGTGCTAATGAGCTGGAAGCAGCAGCTGCATCTGGTAACTACCGGAAGCTCTTCCAGCTCATCCGAGCCACTGGCAGCAAGAAGTCTGGTGTGAGTGAAACAATCTGCGAGGATGATGGGATGCCAATCACTAACATCCATCGACGTCTTGGACGATGGGCAGAATTTTTCGAAGGGCAGTTCAACTGGCCTGCTGCTCCGGCAACATCGGTCAGACTGTCCTGCCCTCCATGGCCGGTGACGACTGATCCACCAAACGAGGAGGAAGTCCGCAAGGAACTCCAACTCTTGAAGCGTTACAAATCACCTGGCCCAGATGACTTACCTCCGGCTCTTTTTAAAGATGGTGGTGACTTTTTGACTAAGGAATTGACGACGTTGTTTACAAAGGTTTGGGAACTAGAGAGTGTACCAACGTCATGGAATGAGTCGATAGTTGTCCCTATCTTTAAAAAGGGTTCACGTCGTTCCTGTAACAACTATCGGGGGATAAGTCTACTTCCGATTGCGTCCAAGCTATTGGCTTCCGTCATACTTCGTAGGTTGTTCAAAACCCGAGAAAGATTGACTCGCGAGGAGCAGGCTGGGTTTCGTTCTGGTCGAGGATGTATTGATCATATCTTCACCCTCCGCCAAATGTTAGAACACCGCCATACTTATCAAAGGCCAACAATCGTAGTGTTTCTTGACATCAGGGCTGCCTTCGATTCGTTGGACAGGACTGTTCTCTGGGATTGTCTATTGAAGAAGGGTGTGCCTGAGAAGTTTATTAACATCCTAAAAGCCCTATATAAAACACCTCAGGCAGAGTGAGGGCATACAACCACCTCTCTCCATTGTTCCATTCGAGCAGTGGGGTTAGGCAGGGTTGCCCAATCTCACCATTCCTCTTCAACTTTGCCATCGATGACATTCTGGAAACAGCTCTGATGAATGTAAGTAATGGTGGTGTGGATCTGTTGCCTGGAGAAAGACTTCTCGACCTTGAGTATGCGGACGATATTGTCTTACTGTGCGATAATGCCCAAGGCATGCAATCCGCACTTAATCAGTTGGCAATCAGTGTCCGTAGGTATGGTATGTGCTTTGCACCTTCGAAGTGCAAAGTACTTCTACAAGACTGGCAGGATTCTAATCCTGTACTCACCCTGGATGGTGAGCAGATAGACGTAGTCGAGAAGTTCGTGTATCTGGGTAGCTGCATAAGTGCTGGTGGTGGTGTGAGTGATGAGATCAATGCACGTATAGTGAAAGCCAGAGCGGCTTATGCCAATCTGGGCCACCTTTGGCGCCTTCGTGATGTTAGTCTGGCTGTAAAAGGTCGGATCTACAACGCGTCGGTGAGAGCAGTTTTGCTCTATGCTTGTGAAACCTGGCCTCTCCGAGTTGAGGACGTTAGACGACTCTCTGTGTTCGATCATCGCTGTCTCCGAAGGATTGCTGACATTCAGTGGCAACACCATGTCAGTAATGCAGAGGTTCGGCATCGTGTGTTCGGGCACAGAGATGATAATGCAATTGGTGTCACCATCTTGAAACACCGACTTCGGTGGCTTGGACATGTTCTCCGAATGTCGTCCCAGAGAATTCCACGTCGTGCATTATTTGCCGACTCTGGGACTGGTTGGAAAAAGAGGAGAGGTGGTCAGTGCATGACATGGTGTCGTGGTATGAAAGAAAGCTGCAAAGGACTGGCTTCTGTCAGTCCTTCACGACTCCCTGGTTGGGGTCTGAGAGATGGTGCTACACAGTGGCTAGAGACGTTATCAGATATGGCTCAGAATAGAAGCCAGTGGCGATCCTGCTGTAACCTTCTTTTACTTTCTTCATAGAAAGTGGTTGTGTCTCCCTTACCTGAAAGATTTCTTCTGATTGTACCTTTCCGTTCCCTCGTTACTACCACACTACCTTACACCAATCTCTTCGTTATTGTTCTCTTTTTCTTTTGCGCTCCTTAGTTTTTTTCTATTTCTCTTCGAATTCTCATTGTTTTGTGTGGCGCATATATATTGGCGCTCTCTTGTACCAATATTTATATGTTCAAATAAATAAATAAAATAAAGTCTGACCTCTCCGGAATGAGGATGCTAAGTGACTGCGTGATTGATCGTCATCGCCTCAGATGGATTCAGCGGCAACATCATGGTAGCAATGCGGACGTACGGGGACAATAACGGTAATTGAATTGGAGTCATCTTGAAACGCCGATTTCTATAGCTTGGACATGTACTACAAATGTCCCAGCGAATTGCCATATGGTGCATTATTTGCTGACGCTGTAGCCAGTTGGAAAAAGCGGAGAGGTGGTTAGTGCTTGACATGGTTTCTTTGTATGTAAAGAAACTCTTCAGGACTCGCATCTCTTGACACGTCACGACTCTCTGATTGGAGTTTAAAAAATAGTGCAACATACTGGTTTGAGTCATCACCAGACATGACTAAGAATAAAACCCTGTGAAGATCCTGTTATAACCTTTTTTACTTTCTCTATATAAGTGAAACGAACCTCAACTAAAAGGATCTTTTCGGGTTGTATTTTTTTAGAAATGAACTCCCATTATTATTATTATTTTCGGTTTCACACTTACTGCTCATTCCTGTTACTCCTTGTGGAGCAAAGGCCACTGATCAGAATTCTCCATCGGACTCTGTAATGGGAGTACTTTCGAGTAGTTATTCATCATTCTGATGTCTGCTTCCAGTTCCCGGCGCAGTGTGTTCTATAGTCTTCAGCTTTTTCGTTTCCCTTTAGAATTCAGAGTCATATTGAAACGACGTTATGTAATAATCGACTGGTGAAAAAGTTGTATAGTGACAAAAATTGTCTACTTGGTAGCTATTAAGGATAGAATAATTAAGAGTTGTACTTACTAATTTACGCCTGTTACCCCTCATGGAGGTGCACAGGCTGCATACCAGCATTCTCTATCTTACTCTGTCCTGGGAAATACTTTCCAGTTGCTATTCATCCTTCGGATGTCTGATTCCAGTTCGCAGCCCAATATGTTCTCTACTCTTCAGCTTTTTCGTTTCCCTTTAGTATTCCAAGTTAGGGCTTGCCTCGTGATGCAGTTTGATGATTTCCACAGTGCATTACCTATCCGCTACACGTGTGTTTACCTGATTTCCACTTTAGCTGAATGCTGGTTTGCTCTCTCTCTCTCACACACACACAGTGGCTGTTGCTGATGGCATCCGGCCAACGAACATTGAGTATCTTGCGTAGACAATTGTTTACAAATACTTGTACTTTTTTGATAATGGCTGTAGTATTTCTCCAAGTTTCAGTTCCGTACAGTTGAACTATCTTGACGTTCATATAGAAGATTCTGACTTTTCTGTTGGCTGCCAATTGTTTCGAGTTACATATGTTCTTCAACTGTAGGAATTCTGCTCTTGTTTCGTCAATCCTCTCATTTACTTCTGTATCAGATCCTCCTTGTTTACCAATGATACTGCCCAGGAACACGAACGTCTCCACCTCTTCCAGAGCTTCTCCATCAAGTGTGACTAGGTTGGTGTTCTCCGTGTTGTATTTGGGGATCTTGGTTTTTTCCCTTATGTATGTTAAGGTTTAAGGATTCAGAGGCTGCTGCTATACTAGTTGTCTTCATCTGCATTTGTTGGTGTGTATGGGATAGAAGAGCTAGGTCATCTGCAAAGAACAAATCATGTAGCCGCATCCAAGCTCTCCATTGTATTCCGTGCTTTCCCTGAGATGTGAAGGTCTTCATAATCCAGCCGACCACCAGATGAAAAAAAAAGAGAGAGTGAGCAGCCTTGTCTAACACCGATCTTCACTTGGAATGAGTCTGTCAGCTGTCCTCCATGCACGACTTTGCAGTGTAGTCCGTCGTATGAATTTCGCATGATGTTGACGGTTTTGTCAGGTACACCATAGTGCTAGAGAAGGTTCCTCTATCCACACTATCAAATACTTTCTCAAAGTCAACGAAGTTGGTGTATAGTGACGAATTCCATTCAATTGATTGTTCAACGATGATCCGTAGTGTTGCGATTCGGTCTGTACACAACCGATCCTTAGTGAATCCGGTCTGTTGATCTCGAAGTCGGGCGCCTACTGAACCTTTCATCTGGCTCAACAACACTGTTGAGAGCTTTTCCTAGTACCAATAGTAGTGCATCTGATTTCAGTGCTCCAGCTGGTTTAGTCAGGTTGCTGCTTTCCCACTCTTCATTTGTCTAATAGCCATCCATCGTTGGTGGAGTGATATCTATAGGAATGTCTGTGTGTGCTGCTTCAATGTCCAGTGGGTTCAGTGAGACTGGTCTGTTCAAGAGTTCTTCAAAGTCCTCTACGCAATTGTCCGGCTGTTCTTAAATTTCAGTGATTGGCTTGCCTCCTTTGTCTTTGAATAATCTCTCTGGTTTACAATATTTCTCTGTGAGCCTCTTCATTGTTTTATATAAACGTTTCATATTTTCTTCTCTTGCAGCTTTTCCCTCTGTCATTGCTAGTTCTTCGATGTATTTCTGCTTGTCAGCTCTAATGCTCTTCTTCGCTTGCTTGTTTGCTTCTGTTTATTCAGCTTGTGCCTTGACTTTCTCTGTTCTTGTTTGGCTGCTGTTAATTGCTGTCTTTTCGTTCTTCCCTTCTTGAATCTTAACGAGGGTTTCGATGGAGGCCCATTCTTCGTGATGATGTTCCTTGGAGCCCAGAACGTCCTGACACGTTGAAGTTAGTGCCACTTTAATCCATTTCTAATTGTCGTCGACAGTGGTTTCTCTTGAGTAGATCTTGTAAGGTTTGGATCCTGTTGCTGATAGCTATCTTGAATTCGTTAATTAAAGTTGTAATAATTGCCAATTAATAATTGTGAGATAATTAGAAAAGAGTAAAAATAATGGAATAAAAAACGATGGATTGTGGAAATGTATATCTTATTCAGAGCATCTACAGACGTGCTACTCTTTGTGCTGATGCTTCCTGCGTCCCAACACTTGAATGTTGAAGTTGATTCATTCTTAATTCTCTTCCAGTTTTTCTCTGTATTATTCTTCTCTTACTTGAGTAGATCTTGTAAGACCTTTGTAGTGGTGTTTGCCAAGTTACTCACTATTTCTTTAGCTTATGTTTCAACTTTACCACCATCAGATGGTGATATGAGTCTATATCATCCCCTCTCTCTGTTCTTAAATCTTCCATAGACCTGAACGTTTTATTTGTGCAAACGTGATGGATCTTGTTGTCACTCATGCACTAATTTCCATTTATTTTCGCTCTTTTTTATTATACTCATTTCCCTACCTCTTAACTACCCCATTTTTATTGTATGGCGCATGTATATTTCTCTGCTCCTCAGTACCAATGTTTGTTTTCAATAAATTTACTTGCCAGGCCATCTTAGGAAAAAAAGTCTTTCCAATATTCTGCTACATTTCAGCTACTTACAGCCATATATGCATTAAAATGACACAAAATTGATAACAGAAAGAATTAAATCATAAGAATTATCAATGATGATTACATATATATTGATATCTATATTTGTAAGAACAGGTGTAAAGTCATTTAGAGATGGAGTACATACAACATAGGGGGAGGGGGAGGCAGTAATTAAGTGAAGTCCGGAAACAGATATGATAGATTGTGTGATAATTCAAAGTTTATGAAGAGTTTACATAAGATTGCAATTATTGTCCAGAATTAGAAATTAGTATGATGGGTTACATAGCAATTTCACGGGACCTGAAGAGTTTGCAGAGAATTAAGTAAGTGAAAAAATGGATGAGTGATGGGTTTAATTTGGTCTGCATAAAGTAAGAATTAGTTTGACGAGGATCATATCACATAACAAAGTAATAAAATAATCATAATAATGATATTAACAACAAATAACTATTTAACTTAGTAGTGATAAGTTGATTACTACCTCTTTCTGAATACATAAATTAGGTTTGAGTTTCTTTATTGCTGCTGCTTCGGCAAGCCGGAGACACGCTGCGTTTTTTGTCTGCTAACATTATTGAAGTGAAATTTCAATGGTATATCCTGTATCAGTTAAATGCTGAGCTATTGCACTGTATAGAGCCATTGTGTCTCAGTTTCAAATTCTTTAGAAGTTGTACTCTTTTTTCCGTTCTTCCATTGTGCTTTGGCATGTACATGTAAATTGGCAAATGCAGTTGCTTAATTGCTAAGTTTTAATTGCCATTATGGTCAAATTCAGTGTCTACTTCATGTAAAAGTGTGCCCCCTGTACTTATGCATAAACAGATTATCATTGAGGCGACACTAAAGGATATCATCAATATCAATGTATGCAGACAACCGTGGACGCGGATTCGATTGGAGAAGTTTCAACATTTTAGATCAAAGAAACCCCAAGATGCTAGAAAATTTTCAGAAGCATGGTATTCAAATTAATTAATGATTAACACAGGTATATCAACGTAAACTCAGTCTATGAAGCAATATGTATGAGGTCATCTAATCAAGATATCCAACATGGATGCAAAGGTAAACGAAAACAACGAAGCCTACAAAATCAGCTGATCGTAAACAGGGTCATCAGAATAAACCGTAATAATTAAAACACTCGCTTCTACATGGAGTAAACATTAGAGATGTCCAGAATAACAATGAAAACTCAGAAATCAAGCTATCTAGCTCCTCAGAGAAAGCAACTTTATTTATGTATATATATTACTCGGTAAAGCGACTGTGAGTTTAATTTACCTTGTTCGTTAAGGTATTTCTTGCTGATAGCTCAAAAATAATGTGTTCTAGAGTTAAATAGATACTATTTAACTTGCCTTTTCGTTTTCCAAAATAAATTCCTCTTATTTAATCTTAAATCCGTTTAATATTTGTGATTTGTATTCTCTTTTTCTCCAAGACATTCCCAATGCAAAAAACTCCAGATCGCAACTGGACTCTGATATTTTTGAAAACTCAGTCACCCAGATATATAAATGCTGAAAATAAATATTTAACTGAGACTTCTGATGCGGATGAATATGATTTGAAATTTAAAATGGTATGGTACAGTACATCGAATAGAGTTCATGTTTTCAGTCCTAAATTGGTCTGCGCTCTTAGAGATGTTAAACTTGGTGAACGTTTACTAGTCACTGGATTTCTTTCTTATTATCAATCACCTAAACCTGATGGAGCGGCTCAAAGAAACTGCTGCGTCACGGCTCAGCGCATCGCTCATATGGGTTGGTCTAGTGATTATCAACCCAGTGAGAACCTGGCGGAAGTTCTTGAAACATAAATTCTAGAAGATTTATCATTATGTGTCTCACAACATATATATTTTAATCTTCCCATTAATGCCATCACATCCATCCAGTGAGTGCCAATATATTATTTGATAGCCTCTTGTTTTTGAATAGTTGATTTGTTGTATGCATCCTTTAAGTTCCACTCATTCATTAAGCAGTAATTATACTATGTTTTGAACACCTGTATTGGATTGCTGTTAACTCAATAGTTAACAAATAATAATTTCCTACTTAAAAATAAGTATAAATAGTATCTCAATTATGAATGTATATTCTAATCTTGATTTAAATTTAATCAATCAAGTATTGTGCAATCACTATGTGACTAGGCATAAATGTCTCTTGAACCAAGATACCACACCAGCACAGCAAGAATAAATGAGCGTGATTAGTGTTAGCGAAGTTTGAATTATTATGCTATCAATGATAGTGAAAATAATTAAACATAAACAATATGATATTTGAAAAAGAAATGATGAACTTGTGAAATAATACTGGAACTCGGAATCCAGGAGAAAATTATGAGTAGGTGGATTTAAATGAATGAGACCGATCCGGAGGTATCTTACCTAAATTCTCCAACAGTCGGCCACAAATATCATAAAAATACCTTATATCTCAAACCTGTAGTCAGTAACTTAATGGGTTGATGCCACACTTACGACCCCAGTCAACATTGTTTCAAAGTTGGCAGTTCACTGTTCACAACATAAGTCCTAGTTACTTTAACCGATGTAAATTCGTAGCCTATTCAACCGATCTATCACCACTACCTAGTACTCTACGTCTAACCTCAATATTGCGTACTCAGTTGTTTCAATGTATGCCAGCCATACTTCTAAAACAAATGATCAAATACTAGTAACCTGTGAATAGTTTTGACTTTGGAAAGTCATATTTTACGAAGTAAAAAAAAGTGAATATCTTGTTTGTACTAAAGATGGCGCAAGTTCTTACCAATCAAGTAAGGTTTGCAAAATCGTGCTGAAGTTCCGTCAGGCATCATCTTATTACAGCTAAATGGTTAGCTGTCAATTACTTCAATTGTTTTGCTTACTCATTGACAAAGTATAGGTTAGTGTATTCAACTTTGAGTCACAATTGTTTTGTAAGAGCTGCTTTTTATACCAGGGTATACAGACAGAACTAAAGAAGACGGGGTTCGAACCTGAGACATATTGCTTGAAAGCTAAGCGTTTTAACCACTAAGCCACCTCTCAAAATTTCACTTCTTCCAGTCAAGATTGACACATACTTGTCGTAAAACAAAATCCATCACTGATATGGAGAAATGTCCACCTCAACTATTCTAGCGTCTTTATCTAAGGTGTCCATAAAACTATTTTATTAGCGTCTTCATTAAATAAAACTGTCATCTGGGTCCGTAAAAATACTGAGTTAGTAGTTATCGTATATTATTAGACCCTTTTGCAGTATGTTGTGGGAACAAGTATAAATAAATATAGTGCTAAATTGATACATTACTGTGTGATATTTATTCTTAAAATTATTTACAATATCATGTGGTTCGATATAATTAACTAGAAGTCATGTGTTTTTGAAATTTCAATCCAGGCAATCAAAGACTAAACGGTTAATAGAATATTCAACGAAGTAAATCCATTCACAGTTCATAAGATGGGATTGTGTCCTTAGTCGATTGTCTATTGTTCAAAAAATAACACTTAATATATACCTATTTCGTTCTATATCTTGGATATGCAAATATTTTATTGAAATAAACAACGAAACTGATTTTTTCCTGTATGTCACTCGATTAAGGATAGACTGTCTTTTGAAACTTCGTAGTAGTTTTTAGTGCCGTAATTAGCTGTATTTTTATCACTAATACTTACATTTTAACTGAAAGGTCGAGTATTTCAAATTCGTCTGGAGCGAGTTTTACAAAATGCTGTTTGAAAATATAAATCTATGCTAGATCCAGAGGTATGCTACTGGTTTACCGCAAAATGTAATCAAATTCATGGTACATTGTTAACTGATGAGTAAATTCACCTGAAGCTTACGGAATAAAATTGAGGTGCTCGTGAGTTCCTCATGTATTTCGAAATGACGGAAATGTCAATAAACAAATAGCTACAGTACAGTGCTGGGATACTGCCTGGGTGTCCAAACCGAAGCACGTGGTTTTCTTAGGGAATACACCCGAAGGTTTCAACATAAAGGTCTGATAAAAAGGTAGTGGAGTAACGTTATTTATTTATTTGAACACATAAATATTGGTACAAGAGAGCGCCAATATATATGCGCCACACAAAACAATGAGAATTCGAAGAGAAATAGAAAAAAACTAAGGAGCGCAAAAGAAAAAGAGAACAGTAACGAAGAGATTGGTGTAAGGTAGTGTGGTAGTAACGAGGGAACGGAAAGGTACAATCAGAAGAAATCTTCCAGGTAAGGGAGACACAACCACTTTCTATAAAGAAAGTAAAAGAAGGTTACAGCAGGATCGACACTGGCTTCTATTCTCAGCCATATCTGATAACGTCTCTAGCCACTGTGTAGCACCATCTCTCAGACCCCAACCAAGGAGTCGTGAAGGACTGACAGGAGCCAGCCCTTTGCAGCGTTTTTCATACTACGACACCATGTCATACACTGACCATCTCTCCTCTTTTTTCAACCAGTCCCGGTGTCCGCAAATAATGCACGATGTGGAATTCTCTGGAACGACATTCACAGAACGTGTCCAAGCCACCGAAGTCGATGTTTCAAAATGGTGACACCAATTGCATTATCGTCTCTGTGCCCGAACACACGATGCCGAACCTCTGTATTCCTGACATGGTGTTGCCACTGAATGTCAGCAATCCTTCGGAGACAGCGATGATCGAACACAGAGGGTCGTCTAGCATCCTCAACTCGAAGTGACCAGGTTTCACAGGCATAGAGAGAAACTGTTCTCACCGACGTGTTGTAGATCCGACCTTTTACAACCAGACTAACATCACTAAGGCGCCAGAGATGACCCAGATCGACATAAGCCGCTCTGGCTTTCACTATACGTGAATTAATCTCATCACTCACGCCACCACCAGCACTTATGCAGCTACCTAGATACACGAACTTCTCGACTACTTTTATCTGCTCACCATCCAGGGTGAGTACAGGATTAGAATTCTGCCAGTCTTGTAGAAGTACTTTGCACTTCGAAGGTGCAAAGCACATGCCATACCTACGGACACTGATTGCCAACTGATTAAGTGCGGATTGCATGCCTTGGGCATTATCGCACAGTAAGACAATATCATCCGCATACTCAAGGTCGAGAAGTCTTTCTCCAGGCAACAGATCCACACCGCCATTACTTACATCCATCAGCGTTGTTTCCAGAATGTCATCGATGGCAAAGTTGAAGAGGAATGGTGAGATTGGGCAACCGTGCCTAACCCCACTGCTCGAATGGAACAATGGAGAGAGATGGTTGTATGCCCTTACTATGCCTGAGGTGTTTGTATATAGGGACTTTACGATGTTAATGAACTTCTCAGGCACACCCTTCTTCAATAGACAATCCCAGAGAACAGTCCTGTCCAACGAATCGAAGGCAGCCCTGATGTCAAGAAACACTACGATTGTTGGCCTTTGATAAGTGTGGCGGCGTTCTAACATTTGGCGGAGGGTGAAGATATGATCAATACATCCTCGACCAGAACGAAACCCAGCCTGCTCCTCGCGAGTCAATCTTTCTCGGGTTTTGAACAACCTACGAAGTATGACGGAAGCCAATAGCTTGGACGCAATTGGAAGTAGACTTATCCCCCGATAGTTGTTACAGGAACGACGTGAACCCTTTTTAAAGATAGGGACAACTATCGACTCATTCCATGACGTTGTTGGATCAGTCGTCACCAGCCATGGAGGGCAGGCCAGTTGAACTGCCCTTCGAAGAATTCTGTCCATCGTCCAAGACGTCGATGGATGTTAGTGATTGGCATCCCGTCATCCTCATAGATTGTTTCGCTCACACCAGACTTCTTGTTGCCAGTGGCTCGGGAGAGTTGGAAGAGCTTCCGGTAGTTACCAGATGCAGCTGCTGCTTCCAGTTCATTAGCACGCTCCGACCACCAGGCTTCTTGGTCCTTACGCAAGCTTTGGCCGATTTCATTACGTAACATCCTTCGTTTGTGGTCAAACCCACGGTCACCCGAAGTAGACCGATGGGCTTCAATGAGTTGTAAGGAGCGTGAAGAAACCCAGTCCTTATAAGCGGGACGTTTCGCGAAGGCGCAAGCGGCTTTACTTGCCATTTTCATGGCGTCATGAAGTTGAAACGAATGCTCATCTAAACTTTTCGGTGGAATGGTAGCTAGCCTAGAAGCTAGCTCGGTTCAATATTTAGTTGCTGACATCAATCCTTTGGTGGCGGTCACTTCGTTGGCCACTGAAAAGTATGGTAAGATTGGCGAAGACCATGGCACGATCAGAGTCCAGGTAGGTACTCCAAAAGGAGCGGCAGTCTTGTACACATCCACGCCAGCGGTAGCTGATCGCGATGTGATCAATCAGAGTCCAGGCTTTAGATGCAGACGGAGTACGCCAGGTGGTACATCGGTGATGACTGTGCCGGAAGATAGTGCTGACTAGAAATAGGTTGTTTTCTTTGCACAGTTGCAGTAGACGGTCCCCGTTATCTGTCCTGCAACCAACAAGTCCCCATCGGCCACCTAAACGACTCCATTCTGTGTCTAGACGCTCGACTCGAGCATTCAAGTCCCCGGCTAGTATTACAATATCTGTCAAACGAACTTTCTGGAGAAAAACAGTCAACTGATGGTAGAATTCATCCTTGATTGCAGCCAGGATGCAATCAAGGTATAGGCGGTGACGAAAAGACATCGTTTCCCACGCCGACTTCTCACTTCGATGGAACTTTCTAATCAAACAGCACATAACCAACTGTTAATGGGGATCCCATCAATTAGTGCTGCCCCAGCTCTAGCGCTTAGTGCGATACCAACGCCAGCAAGACCATACGGAGATGCTACAGGGTCCCCAGATAGACGCACGTAAAACAAGCTTTTTGAAGCTACAGATGGAGAGCGAATTTGAAGTACTTCATCAGAGTCTTGAGAACGGGTCTCGGATAGACAACAAACATCGATATTAATACTTTCTAAAGACAGTCAGTCCTATCTGTTGTCCGACCTGCATTAGTGTGCGAACGTTGAAGGCAGCCAGTTTTAATGGTGCACGTGGTTTCAGAAAAGCTGCTTCAGTATTCATGTTTGGTGGTAGCATAAAATTTTCAACCAGGCAGTGACTCGAGAACGTTTAGAGAGAACCGAGTTTCCACCATAGGCGAGCTACTGTATGTGTCGAAAAATAATTATACACAGAGTAAGAATAAAAGTGAATAAATGACGTAAAAAACAATACTAATGTGAATCATTTGATTCTTAATCCAATCAAGAAACTATTTTCCATAAATATCGACCTAAGGAGATGCAGTCCCATGGTAGCCGGTGACGAATAATTGGCTAATACACCATTTATACCTCAGGATCCTGGAGCCCATGTGCACCATTGGTTCGAAATCAGGGTTTTCCAACTCCCCTAGGTGGACTCCTGTATCTATCAACTCGATTTATTTGCTAGACATTTGCTTTTCGTCCTCTTACTTTCCTCAAATTTGTGAAGAAGATACGATATGAATTTAAGTTTGTGAAAATGGTAATCAGTTCGTCCAGCTTACTAATGAAACGATGATCTAATACCTCTTAGCGATCCGTTCTTTGGGTTGTAACCATAATTTTTGAGTCCATTAGGTCGAAAGTGAATGGTAGCCAACGGGGTTGTATACTAAGTTATTTTGATAAGAAAATTATCATATACATACACCCCAGTATCTTGTCATAGACATTAACTATTTTACGTCAGTTGTCAGAAGTTGATCATGCTAGTGCAGGGTTCATACCGAAGCAATACTTATCTAATACTATTTATCCCAAATAACTCGTTTATAGTGATGTGGACGAATTCAAAAATGTTATTATTTCTCCATAGGTGTAATAGGTTGCATCTTATAATTGTGTGAAACCACAATACAGAGATCAATCGAATTTGACTGTTTTGTGCTGTGCAATTTATGCTAAGTGCACCACAAACCTTTATGACTGGAGACTGACAAAGTATTAGGAAATGCTGTTTCATTTTGGAGTTACGGTGGTTACACTAATAATCGTTCCCCTAGCTAGGTTCCGAGAAATAACCAACTTCTATAAGGAATTATGTTAGCTAGTAGTCTCATCGCTTATTTGAGTTATAATCCAGGAGTCATTATACTGATTCTAAATTTGTTTTAGTCATGATATGGACTTAGACGTCATACATGAAAACGGTTGTTTATATGTTAGTCGATCCAAATGAAGAATATTGACATGTGATATTTTCTGGACGGGAGACTATCAGTGAAAAGTTGTGGAGATTGCTGAATCTCATTGAGAACCTAGAGGCATTTAACACCGTTGGATGATGACTGAGTGCTTTGGAGGTCGAGCGTTTGCGTGAAAAACTGAAGGTTGTATGCTCGATTCCTGCTTGTTGAGCCGCAGATGAGTTCCTTACTAGGACAAAGCAACTATCCAGTCCCTACAGGTTTTACAGTCTAAACTAGATAGGTTCATGGTTTCACTGAAAATTGATCTCTGTGAACGATGAGTAAAATCCAGTCAATGCCAACTTTGAAGCGTTCCATCAAATACCATGCATATTGACTGTATCTAAATACCATGATAAAATTCCTTAATATCAAGAAATGGGTGCAGTTAGGAAGTTAAACCGATCTATACGTTTCGA